AAATTCAGTAGTGGCGGCATCACAGGACACAGCAGCTGCTGGGATTTCTCCCAACAGAATTCCTCCTCCCAGAGGAAGCTCCCCAAGAGCTCTGGTCTGATGCTACAACTCTCAAACCCCTAGAAAATGACCTTGACACCTAGTGCTTTCTTTCCACAAACTCTTCTGAGGCTGTAATGGCCCTGACTGTTTTCCTCTGCCAGCATTTTAGCTAACTTACTCAAGTAATTATATCACAAACCAATGGTCTGTGAGCTGAATCCAACGCACCCATCTGCTTTGGCAGAGTTAAAAATGTGAATATCTAGCTTTCCTCTGAAAAATCAGAAGATCTAGCAACAGTAGGCAACAACTGGTTGAAGGTGAGGAGTCACTCTCTGGTTTAGAAAGGACATATACTCTCCATCTTGCTTAATTTCTACTGTGTCCCAGACACTAAGGCCTGGCCGTGCTTTATTCATTGACACATTTGCTGATCTGTGACACCTAAATGTGTTTGAAAGAGAAGCTTAAAGATAGTACTGTATCAGTCTAGTCTAGTGTGTCTTAATGGTATACTCTTATTGTGGTAGTTTGAAACACAATTCTTCATCATGCAAGCCTGTTCCATGTGTCACAAGGTTTTTAGCATCCTGGCCCCTCCTGTGAGATCCCAGGAACACCCCAAAGTGGGGCCTAGGGAGACAACAGTATCTCATGCTGACAACCACTATTAGCATGCTAAGTTTGGTGAGGTGAGCATTTCCCAGGTTTGAAGAAGAGTCAGCCTTCTCTTGAGAGGACTTTTAAGATTAAAAAATAAAAGAATCATTCATTTTGATCATTTTTCTGAATGGTCTGGTCCAAATAATAATTGTTGAACAAAGAGATGTATACTAGTATAAATCTTTGGAACTTTTATCCATTTTCTTGCTGCTTTGAAGGTTTTGGTTTTAGATCATATTTATTGAGCTGATCCTAAGTACCAGGCACTGTGCTATAGGCTTAATCACATTTAATCTGTACTATCATCCCATAGGAGAGGTAATATCATCCATATTTTACCAATAAGGAAATGTGAGCCTCAGAGAGGGTAAATAACTTGCCCGTGGGTCACACAGTTTAAGCAGCAAAGAGGATACAAACTTGAAGTCTATGCTTTAACCTTTATTCTCCTGTATTGTTGGATACATGGTAAGTCTTTGATGATGTCATAACTTTTTGTTTTTTTAATATATCTTTACTGATTTCAGAGAGAGTCAGGGAGATAGAAACATCAATGATGAGAGAGTCACTGATCGGCTACCTCCTCCACGACCCCTACTGGGGATGGGGCCTGCAACCCGGGCATGTGCCCTGACCAGGAATCGAACCACGATCGCCTGGATCCTAGGTCGATGCTCAACCACTGAGCCATTCCAGCCAGGCCTGATGTCATAACTCTTAAAAACAGTGTAAAGTTTAACCCCAAAATTGCTTTAAAACAGAAGAGTTTTTGTACCAGTATGTGAATTCTTCAAGATAAACGGCAACAAGAAATGTCTAATATTGAACCACAACAAATAATCTTTTACTGGCAGAGAGGTAAGGGTCCTAACTTTAAGTTTTTTCATGCATATATATAAAGGTGCTACCAAATAACAAGGGAAAGATAAGAATATAAGTTATCTCCCCTAAATGAGCCTTCCAAATAATTTCTAAAACAATTGTCGTATAGGATTTTAATTACAGTGGAAACCATTTAGAAATAGATGCAGCAAATATGTGACTATTTCACATTCTGTTATATTCTCAAGAGATATACTATGGACCAAAATACTATTCACATTAAAAAAGAATCATTAAAAGCACTGTCAGGCCCAGCCGGCATGGCTCAGTGATTAAGCGTTGATGCATGAACCAGGATGTCACGGTTCGATTCCCAGTCACGGCACATGCCCGAGTTGGGGCCTCAATCCCCAGTAGGGGGCATGCAGGAGGCAGCCGATCAATGACTCTCTCATCATTGATGTTCTTCTATCTCTCCCTCTCCCTTCCTCTCTCTGAAATCAATAAATATAAACAAGCACTGTCAAGTTAAATATAGCCCCTAGAAACAAATAGAAGTATACTCAGATTAAATTTAAATGTAATGCTCCTCTCCACAAGTGAATATTTGCCAGCTACCACCTATACAGGACTTATCATATGTGCCACACTCTGCCTTCCCCTATCAACTTCCCCCCAAAATAAAAATAAGGTACTTGGGTTCGCTTCCCAATTCTGAGGTTAGTAACAAGGAGGTAGGATATTAAAAAAATAAACAAAGCTTAATGACTTTATATAATGGTATATAAATAAATGGGAAAGCCTTTGTTCTTATTTATTAGAAATATTTTGTTTAAGAATAATGAGTTGGTGTTTGGGGAAAAATAGTATATAGGTTAGAGAAATCAAAGGTTGCCTATAAAAGTGACTTTAAAAATATCTCAAGAGCCCAGCCAGGCGTGGCTCAGCGGTTGAGCGTCAGCCTAGGATCCAGGCGATCAGGGTTCGAATCCTGGTCAGGGCACATGCCCGGGTTGCGGGCTCGATCAATGACTCTCTCATCATTGATGTTTCTATCTCTCTCTCTCCCTCTCCTTTCCTCTCTCTGAAATCAATAAAGATGTATTAAAAAAAAAAAATCTCAAGAGTATTCTGGAAAAGGCAAAATTATGGAGACAATAAAAAGTCAGCAGTTGCCAGACATTAGTGGGGAGGAAGGGAGGGTTTATAGGTGAAGCATGGGAGAATTTGTCAGGCAGTGAAATTATTCTGTGTGATACTATAATAGTAGATACATGACATGATGCACATGTCAAAACCCACAGAACTTTACAACACAAAGAGTGAACCTTAAAGTATACAAATTTAAAAAAAAACCTTTTAGGAGGTCAGGAGATCCCAGAAAGAAATGGACACTGTATGACAGAATCTAATTGTATTACAAATGTATGAAACAGTATCACTGCAGGGGTTAGAGGAAAATATGGTAATCAAAATGACTGTGAAAATGAGTGGAGTCTTTAAGACTAAAAGAACTGTACATAAGCCCTGTACTCTAGTTGATAAAGTTGTTTCCCGTGGGAGTACAGGTTAACAATTCAGATACGGAGTATTAGGCTAACAAAACTGATATACATCTATAAATGTATACTGGGATTGAACAATTAAGTAAATGATGGTGAATGGCAGGAGCCATGTTTCTCATTGTTGGAGTGGGAGGTTATAGATAAGCAAGGGGAGAAGACTAGAACGATCCATGCGGTAATGCATCAGAGATGGAGACATCAGTATAAACTCATATTTAGCAGATAAATACAGATACATATTTATATATAACAGAGATTTATAGAAATGGATACATAGAAATATAGACATGCATAAATATACAGATAGTATATACACAAGATTCCAACTATGAGGGCCCAGAAGCAGCAATACTCCAGTAGCAATGAGCACACCTAGCACCCGGATATTGATTACCAAAAGTATTCTCTAATAAAAGGAAACAGGGCTTTGTGGAGAAACTGCTGATTCTAGAACTGGAACAGGGGATATACAGGATGAGCTTGGAATGTATGGTAGTGCAAGTAAGGAAGTGCTCAAAAACAAACAAACAAAACAACTCTACGAGAATGGGGGCATGTCAAAGTGATACAGGAGCCAACCAAAAGTACTTTCAATGACCAAAGGTGGGGGAAAAAAATTTTTTTTATTGACTTTAGAGAGAGAGGAAGAGAGGGAAAAAGAGAGAAACATCGATTGGCTGCCTCCCAAATGCACCCGAATCCTGGGCACGTGCCCTGACCGGGAATTAAACCAGCAACCTTTCAGTGCACAGGACAACACTCAACCAACTGAGCCACACCAGCCAGGGCCAAAGCTGGAAATATTTAGACAACAAAATAAAGTAGTAGATTATAACACAAGTATAAAATAAATATCTATTAGCCCATAAACAAATAAGTGGCAGAGAAGAGACATAATCTACCATGCAAAAGAATTCCCAATAATTTATGCAGAACACCCTCAAGGAGATGGAACATGACTTTCTACTCAAGTGTGGGCTATATACATAGTGACTTCTTTCTAAACAGCACAGTATGGAAAGAAATTTTAAAAAAAGAGTAACATTACAGTGGAGAAACCTGATAAATACCTTCTCAGCCAAGTGACCAAAATCAACACAAACAGTGATAAATCATGTTGATAGTGTGTACTCCTGATGTGATGAGAATGTGAGAATGACACTTTACCTCTGTGGTCTTCCTCCCCAAAACCCATAACCCCAGTCTAATCATAAGAAAAACATCATACAAATCCCAATTGAGGGACATTTTATAAAATACCTGATCAGTTCTCCTCAAAACTGTCATTGTCATCAAAACAAGGAAAGTCTAAGAAACTATCACAGCTAAGAGGAGCCTAAGGAGACATGAAGACTAAATGTAATATGGGATTCTGAAACAGAAAACATACATTAGGTAAAAACTAAGGAAATCTGAACTTTGGTTAATAACAATGTTTCGATATTGGTTAATTAATTTTAACAAATGTATCATACTAATGTAAGCTATTAGTAATAGAGGAAACTGGGTGCAGGGTATATGGGAACTCCCTGTATTATCTTCTCAATTTTTCTATAACATTAAAACTGCTCTGAAAAATAAAATCTATGTAAAAATTTTTTTAATTACCTCAAAGTGGTTCAGGAGCCCTGGCATAGGAGTCTTATTCACATCTCCAGCTCTGTAAGCAAGCACCTTTTCAGTAGTCTGGAAGTCTGACAAAATGAGACAGTTATCCTTCTGCTAACTTCGGAACTCAAATGGAAGAATGACAAAAACTCATAGCCTTCTGGTGACATAGTAACAGAAGGCTAGACCACACTCTTAGGGCAGGTGGTTCTTTCCCAAGTATCATCACAAGCTGAATCGTCCTCTTTTCCTTTAGGTCACAAATCTCTTCTACAGTAATTAAATTATACATTATCCCACAGAAGAGAGCAGCAGTTCAGAAAGACAAAAGGATAGTCCACCGCTCATTTTCTTAAGGCTTTCGCAACATACCTGGTTGTGACTTGCCATCCTAAGCCCCCCCATTCTATTTAGAGAAGAAAGGATGAGCCTGGGCCTATCAAGCATGTATAAAATTTTTGATTGCATAGCCAAAATAACATAACTTTTCTAAAAATACTATTATATAACCCATTTCTGTTCTATGAAGAACAATTATATAGTATATAGAATAGTAGTGGCTTTATTGGCTTATTTTGACAAATGAGCATTCTCTCCCCCCATCATTTAGAAGCTATCTTCATTCCCCATAAACCTAGTAATTTAATGTTAACTTTATCATTTTAGGGCAAATATTGGCTTATATCAGAATCATCATGCACACAGGTTTCTAATTAATCTCCTGACTCAACTTCATTTTATAAACCACAGTAGAGCTAAAATAACATACCTTGCTTATACTGTATAATTTCAGCACTTTATCTTAATTTCTGTTACTTTATCTTAAACATTACCCCAAAAATGAACTTCAAGTATGAGCAAGAAGTACTGTGCACCTACATACATGCTCTCTTCTACCATGTACAATTGCTGCTTCCAATCTCCTGGCATGACAATGCAAAATCCACACCACATTCATGTTAACCTTCTCCTATCAACTTCAATCAGCATAGCTTTCTACCCTTTCTAAAGGCCTATTAAAAGTCATTGTGTAGTATCACTTTCAGCACTTGAAATAATGTTTATTAATTTTTAATTCTCCTCTAGATTTTATTACTATACATCTTGAGAATGAAAACCAAACATACTCTTGTAGCTATAGTGCCTTGTGCACACTAAATACTTTGTAGGACTTTTAAGTAATTAAAAAACTAATTCTCTCTGGTTGAGATGTTCTGAGGTCTTTGTTGGGTCAATTATTTTTTTAATCTTCACCTGAGGATATTTTTTTCCATTGCTTTTCAGAGGGGGGGGGGAGACGGAAAGAAGAAGAGGGAGAGGGAGACAGACAGACAGACAGACAGACAGACAGACAGACACATTGATTGGATGCCTCCTGCACATGCCCTGGCTGGGGCCGGGAATTAAGCCTGCAACAGAGGTATGTGCCCTTGGCCAGAATCGAACCCAGAACCCTTCAGTCCACGGGTTGACGCTCTAACCACTGAGCCAAACCGGCTAGGGCAGTTGGGTCAATTATTAAATGGCATTATTTAAAAAGACAGGACAACATATTCATAACATATGCCACAGGAAGATCATCTCCACATTTGATTACTTAATAGATTATTTAGAAAAGTGTTTTTCAAATGATGGGTTGTAACCTCTTAGTGAATTGTACAATAAATTTATCGGGTAATGACAAGTATTTAAGAAAAAGAAAGAAACATAACAGAAAATATGTCAGTGCTTCGCACATAGTAATGGTAAATACTGATTCCAAAAACTTGTCTGAGGGATGTATATGTTCTAGATAATGATTAAAATGTATTTCTTACTGTGGGTTGCTTTGAGAAATACTGACTAGAATATAATGAGGTATTTTAGGTTATGTAAGAAAAATATTTAGCACCTTTTCATTTTTATCTGGCAGTTTTTGAATTTATAAAATGGAGTTATTTGAGAAACTTCTGGATGTGAAAGTTGAAACTGTTATAAATTTTTATGTGACTTTTCTTTAAATACAGCCTCGATGTGTTTTGTGCAACTCCCTCACATTCTATTGGAGGCTCCTGCCTTCTAAAAGATTTTTTTTTTTTTGCCCGGCCAGGCGTGGCTCAGCGGTTGAGCATCGACCTAGGATCCAGGCGATCGGAGTTCGATTCCCGGTCAGGGCACATGCCCAGTTGCAGGCTTGATCAATGACTCTCTCATCATTGATGTTTCTATCTCTCTCTCCCTCTCCTTTCCTCTCTCTGAAATCAATAAGGATATATTTTAAATAAATAAATAAATAAAAATAAAAGATTTTTTTAAAAATGAGTTACCAGTCTCATTAACCTAGAAATTCAAGATGACAAGTTCTGGGAATTTCCTATTGTAAGGGTTTGAAAGATTTACAAAAATGCCATTGATAATCATTTATTTAACAACGTCTAGCCTGACAATACTCCTGCCTTGTTCAGTTAATAAAATCTGAGCATTCCACTTAGAGACACAGAAGATTCATGTCCTCAAAGTGAGAGAAACACCGATAGCTATAATGGAGTGAGGTTAAGACCAAGACCTAGCCCGGCCGGGCGTGGCTCAGGGGTTGAGTGTCGACCTGGGATCCAGGAGATCGGGGTTCGATTCCCAGTCAGGGCACATGCCCAGGTTGCGGGCTCGATCAATGACTCTCTCATCATTGATGTTTCTATCTCTCTCTCTCTCCCTCTCCTTTCCTCTCTCTGAAATCACTAGATAGATTTAAAAAAACAAAAACAAGACCAAGACCTATAAGTTGTAAGGAAAAGAAACAATTAAGGTAGGACAAGGAAAAGGGGCACTGAGGAAAGCTTCATGGAAGAGATGATATTTAAGCTGGGGTGCAAAGGAAAATAGAATTAAAAAATAATGAAAGTATAAAGATGGAAGGAACTCTATACATCATCTAACTCAGTGGTTCTGAAATGGAGATGATTCTGCCCTGCAAGGCAAATCTGGTGGCATTTTTGGTCATCATACTGGGGAGGGGCACTATTGGCATTTAGTGGGCAGAGGCCAGGGACAGTGCTAAATAACCTACAGTGCAAAAGACAGCCCCTGACAACAAATTATGTGGCCCCAATATCAATAGTGCCAAAGCTAAGAAACTCTGAACCCAACCTTGTTTTACACAACACGGTAACTGTGTAGAAGGATTTAAAAACAGACTTCATAACATCTTGTCCAGTTTGAAGTCAAAACATCCACCCACATATGTTATTATACTAGGAAATAGCTGTTAAAAAGAGTGGTAACATCTTTGTAAGATGGAAAAACAAACTATCTAAAAATCAAAGCTGATATTGTTAAATAACTTTTCTTGATACAAATCTACCAATGGCTCAAAGCAAGAATTATGCTACATTTTTAAAATTATACCCTGATTTGTTCATAATACTAGATTTATCACCTATACGATTTAGTTACTGAACACATATCTTAGAATAAGAAAAATTACAATAAAAACTAAGAAGTTAGAAGATCAGAATATGCTTGCACACCCAATTACTCCATAGGGCAAGTCTTTCAAGCTCTACCAGCTCCAACCACTGGGGATCTGGGAACTAGGTAGGATAGATTAGCACCTTTTATTCAAAATCAACTGCTGAGTTACCCTTCCTTTTGCTGCTGAGCTTTCTAATAGCAAATGAATTGCACAAAAAAACTTGCTTAGGGTCCTGATTTAGGGCGTAAATCTAAACACATGAAATCACCTGAACATCTTTTCCTTGCTCTCAAATGCACAAAAGGGATTTGGGTGAAGGGGTGGGGTGATATTAACAGCAACATGGATTTGTTTTCAAAAAAGTTTTTACTCTAATATATTACAGGAATACCAGCCACAAACATACACTCCTTACCTCCAATTTGTCAACTGGTGCAACTTCAACTATGATACCTTGTCCAGTTTGACATGCGATAATTCACAATAAAAACCTTGACGAAAAGGCTGAAAACAGTGTCCTAAAAAAAAGACCAAAGAGGTAAGATTCAAACCGTGAAAGGTTTAAAGAAGACAGCATGAGCAAGTGTTACAGTATACAAACAGATGACAAAAAAGAACGCAGCCATTTGTTCATCTTTACTATCTGAAATTTCAGTGAATGAAGTTTATGTTGCTAGATACTAACAGAAGTTCACCTGACTGCCTGAACCACCCTGCTCCACTTCCCAGTCACTCACCTCTAGTACCTAAGGCAGAGCTGGCAACAGCAGAGTGGACAGCTAAAGCTTTTCTGAGGTTTTGGCTTTAGAGAAAGCTAGCAAGAGGAACTTTAGTTGCATCCCTGGCAAACCATTAGGGGTCCCCACAGCTCCCCATGATGTACTAGTTATTAAATTTTAATGGGTTTGATTATGAAACTGTGCCAAAGCCATTAAAGGACTGGAATTCAGAGAGCCAAGTAATCTAGAAAAACTAGAGGTTAAACTGACAGCCTGATAGGCCGAGGGGGACAAAAGGAAAATCCTCTTCCCCCACCTTCAGGTTAGGAACCGGAAGGGCTGCACCTCAGAAATAGGGATAAACCAAAAATTAATCAGGCCATACACAGAACGCAGCTTGGCCTTGAGTTATCTGGTTGGCCAAAAAAAAATCTCGAAAGCAGAAATTAAGTAATCCTGGATTCCCTCAGAGATGCCACACACACACACAGAATTTAAAATCCTTTCTGGAAGACATCAGCCTTGGTCTCAGATGATTTCTTAAACAATTTTTCAGCACAAAATTAAAGACAACCAGGCACATGAGGAGACAACACAACAAGATTCAAAGCTATATAAACAACACAAAGAGGCTCACCAGTACTCCAAATATTAGAATTATCAAATATAGAATTTAAATTATGTTTACTATGCTCAAGGAGGTGAAAACCAAACTTGATCTCAGCAATTAAGTAGAACCCATAGAAAGTGACATAGCAGATTTTTAAAAGAAGCAAAGAGTAATTCTGTAACTGAAAAATACAAAAACTGAAATTAAGAATTCAATGAACAGTTTTAACAGCCAATAGACACAGTTGAGACGGTGAATCAGAAGATAGGTCAGGGGAGAAAGATCAGAACGAAGAGAGGGTAAGAAATATGAGGATACAGTGAGGTCTTACATCCAACGCAGTTAATTGGAATCCCAGAAGGAAAAGAGAGACAGGATTATTTGAATGACAGAAATTTTCCAAAAACGATGAAAGATATCAAACAATAAACTTAAGAATCTCTATGAATTCCTAGGTTCAAATCAACAAAGAAAAACTTAAAAGCATCCCCAGGGTAGAAAATATTACTTTCAAAGCAACAGTTAGATGGATAGCATAATTCTCAACAACAAAAATGAAAGCTGAAAGACTGTGTAATGGTATCTCTAAAGAGCAGAAAGAGCCCAACCGGCGTGGCTCAGTAGTTGAGCATCGACCTATGATCCAGGAGATTGCAGTTTGATTCCCGGACAGGGCACATGCCCAGGTTGCAGGCTCCATCCCCAGTGGGGGGGCGTGCAGGAGGCAGCTGGTCAATGACTCTCTCATCATTGATGTTTCGATCTCCCTCTCTCTAAAATCAATAAAGGCATATTTAAAAAAAAAGAGAGAGAGAAGAAAAACAACCGCCAACCTAGTATTGTACTGCAGAGAAACTATCCATCAAGAATGAAAATGAAATATTCTCAGACAAATAAAAAGAGTTCACATCCAGCACATCCCCACCAGGAAATCATAAAGCAATGAAAACTGAAGCAAAATGGAAGGTTACAGATGCAGAAAGAAATGAAGAACCATGAAAATGTAAGTAAACATGAGAAATCTAATGGAACACTGTATAATAATTTCTTAAGGTAGTTAAAATATGTACAGAAACTTATCTCTAAACTTAATATAACTTATTATATTAATCTGTATAGCTTTTGAATGTATATATTTATACACACACATATATACATATAGAAAATTGAATTATAAGACAACAGCATGTATGTCAGGAGGTAAGTAAATGGAATTAAGGTATTTTTAATGTTCTTGCTTCAACCAGGAGGAAGGTAAACATATCAATTAACACTAGACTTTCATAAATGCTAAGGTAATCATAAAAAAATTAAAATATGTGATATCTGAACCAATAAAGAAAATGATGAAAGGAAGAGAAAAAGAAATACAGAATGAGTGGGACGACAATGTGGTGCTGTATATAATCTCAAAATACTAGTAGTTACATTAAATGTTCCAAAAAAGAAAAAGATTATCAGACTAGATTTTTAAATATCTACAAATATATGTTGCTTTCTAAAGACTCATGTAAAACATAATACAGAAAGGTTGAAAGTAAAAGGATAGCCTGGCCGGGCATGGCTCAGCAGATGAGCATCAACCTAGGATACAGGAGATTGGGGTTGGATTCCTGGTAAGAGCACATGCCCGGGTTACGGGCTAAGCAGCCTATCAATGACTCTCTCATCATTGATGTTTCTCTCTCTCTCTCTCCCCCTCCTTTCGTCTCTCTGAAATCAATAAAGATATATATTTTTAAAAAAAGTAAAAGGATAAATACATCATGTAAACATTAGCCAAAATAAAGATGGTATAGCTAAATTATTTTCAGACAAAATAGAAAAGCATCACTAGAGTTAAAGGAGTCATATTGAGAATGATAAAATGTTTACTTCACCAGAACAATATAATTAACTAAATTTGCCTGCACTTGATAGCATGGCCTCAAATTATATATACAGCAAAAGATGACAGAACTACTAGGAGAAACAGAAACATCAGTATCATAGTGGCAGATTTTAAGATATCTCTCAGTAGGTGAAAGAATAAGCAGATAAAATAATCAGTGAGGACACAGATACACACAAATAACAAACTTGATCAATAGGCATATATATAACACGATATCCAACAGCTGAAGAATATATGCTTTTCAAGTACTTACATACTTACAAAAGACTGACCACATGCTGAGCCACAAAAGTAAATCTCAAGAAATTTTGAAAGACTGAAATCACTCAAAGAAAGTTCTCTAAAGAAACTGATAAAACCAGACACCAATTATCAAATATGCAGAGTCAGAAAATTCTCATATTATTGGAAATTAAATACATTTTTAAATAATCCGCCCGGCCGGCATGGCTCAGCAGTTGAGCTTTGACCTATGATCCAGGAGATTGTGGTTTGATTCCCAGTCAGGGCACATGCCCAGGTTGCGGGCTCAATCCCCAGTGGGGGACTGATGATGCCTCTCTTATCATTGATGTTTCTATTTCTCTCTTCCTCTCCCTTCCTCTCTCTGAAATCAATAGATATATTTTAAAAATAAATAACCCATTGATCAAAGAAAAAATTACAATGAAAACTAGAAGATGTAAAATTAATAATGAAAATATTATATATCAAAAATTACGCCTGGCTGGTGTGGCTT